AAGCCATGTTAGGTATGGCTATGGGATGTTGGATTTTTACATTCTCAACAAAAAGAAAGAAAGAGCCCCCCACCCCCATAATGACTAGATGTTGGGTCAGAAAGGGAGAAAGAGAAATAAAGGGGAAAGGTATGGGGGAATGGGGCTTGAAGGAGAGTGTGGTGGATGGGGTGAGGAGAGAATAAGCAAAAGAGAGAGAGAGAGAGAGAAAGAACAAGCCAGAGTGAGAGAGAGGGACAAAGGGACAGAGCTCTTCTACTATCATGTAGAGCAGTAACCACACACACACACACAAACACACGCACAGACGGGAGAGCAGGTGGTGGGAGGGTGGCGGGTGTCCATTACCTCTCCAGGGCAAACTGCATGAGGTCCTCATAGCTGACGTTCTCCGGGCCCATGTAGCCGGCAAACATGAGTGGGGAGACTTCCTCCTCCTCCTCCCCCACACTCCCGTCATCCAGGAAGGAGGAGGAGGAGGCAGCCACTGGGTTCGAACCCGCGGCCATCTTGGATGTTGTGGTCACCATTGCGTTGGGTTGGATGGTAGCGTAGTGCACTGTGTCGCCACCATAGCCACTGTTGCTGCTGCTGTTGTTGTTGTTGTTGTTGTTGTCGCGGGTCCAGTGTGGTTTGGGACTAACCACAGTCGGTTTCGAGGTTGTGCGGGGGGAGAGAGGGGGTGGGGCGCCCGACGGGGTGACACTGGTGTATATGACGGCATTGCTCGACGCTCTAGAGCAGACGCGGGGGGAGAGGGGTGGGGGCTGGGAGGAGGAGGAGGAGGGACTTAGCGAGTGGGGAGGGAAGGAACGCGGGGAGAGGGGGGGAGGTACGGAAGATGTGTAGCTGGAAGACAGAGACACAGACGGAAGTTGAGTGGGTCGTGAGGGTGGCCGGAAGGGTGGGTTAGCGGGCTGGGACCAGTGGTGGGGTGAGGCGGGACCGGCCGTGTGGTACAGGGAGACAGTTGGCGGGCAGCTGTTGAGACTTGACGTGCTGACGATGGGGTGGAAGGGGCTCTGGGAGTAGGGGTGGGGGTCGGACGGCGCCTGGGCGAAGAAAGCATCATCGTCATCGTCTTCATCGCCATCATCAATGGCGGTGGGCTG